AGGGGGCACTAGAAACAACGCAACGAGTTTAAACGGCACCCAAGCTGCTGCTCGCCAGAACCCGGGAGTGCTGAAAACTGTCAGCACCGCCTCCACCCTCCCAGAGCAGCCTCTTTTCTGCAAAGGCCCAGTATCAGAAACACAGTTTACCACCAAGTCTGAGATTTAAAAAAAAAAAAAAAAGTTGAAGCCTATCTTCCAAAACAGCCTATCTTCCAAATCTTTTGCGCAGAATAGACACATCCTCCTTAAGAAACCCTCAAAACATTCCTCCTCACTGCTAAGCTGAACTGTTAGTGTATCTTTTGCACTTTCTCAACCCAGGCAAACTACACGGCTGGCTGCATCCACCAACCTTTGGACTTAACCTAGATTGTGCACATCTTCCACGTGACATTTCCGCGCCTGGGCAAATTCACACATCCCCAGGAGGACCTGTAGACTGTCCGAGTGCTAACTGCCCTCTTCCCTGGCTCTCCGAGGGCTGAACATGCAGAACTGTCACAAAGACACACCCTGGTTCTTGCTCTAAGTCACGCTCCACCTCCCATTTGCTATTTTGTTTTGTTTTGTTTTAAAACTGAACAAAATGGGCCTTCCTCCTATTCCCAGAGTTCTGACAGGCGGAGGTGGAGGTGGAGGCAGAGGCAGAGGCAGGGAGCTGCATGTCCCTGGGAACGGCCTGCCTGGCACCAAAGCTGTAGGCACTGCCCTGGGCCGGTTTCGGGCAGCCAGGTCTCTGCTCCCCTCCTCCCAGGAGACTGCCTGGGGAAGTCCTGCCTGAAGGCACCGCCCTCCCGGCTGGCCACTAGGGCACTGGCTCTGGGTTGGGGGCCGGCCGGGAGATGAGTCAGGACGGCTGGCCTTGGCTCGGCGCTGGCCCTTCCCAGCCGGCCCAGGGGCGTGCGCCGGGCGGGGGCTGGAGTCTGGCCCAGCTTGGTGCTCCCCTCCTCCCAGGAGACTGCCTGGGGAAGTCCTGCCTGAAGGCACCGCCCTCCCGGCTGGCCACTAGGGCACTGGCTCTGGGTTGGGGGCCGGCCGGGAGATGAGTCAGGACGGCTGGCCTTGGCTCGGCGCTGGCCCTTCCCAGCCGGCCCAGGGGCGTGCGCCGGGCGGGGGCTGGAGTCTGGCCCAGCTTGGCCCGGAGAGGAAGAAGCAGGCCTGGCAGCTTAGCCGTAGCCCGAGCGGCCCAACGATGACCCCGCGGTCAGGCGGGGCTCCA